AAGATGTTTTAACTTTAAAGGGGCAAGTAAAATATGGAAATAAATACACTGTTGTGAAGTAACCCTCTTTTAAACGTTTGGAGCATGTAATTTTAATGTCAGACAAATATAAACTGTTTTGAAAAAAAAGCATATATGGGGTAAACCTTCAATTTATCAAAGGAACCAAAGTAGTCATTATGTAATAAGCCTACTATTACCCACATAAAAAAAAAACGTTGTAGCATGTAGTGCAAGTCTGGGTGGAAACCAGGGCGAACAACTGTTATGATTGGCAGACTCTCTTACATTGCTGTGAAGAGATTTTTGTCCCTTTTTGTTTTGCAGGATTGTTTACATTCATTTGCACTGTAGGGCTTTTTATTATACAGCATCTCAAAAAAATATGAGTACAGTGTTTGATTAGACCACCTCTAAACCCTTGTTTAGAGGTGGTCTAATCCCTTTGTTTAAATTAGCCTTTTTCAGAAGGACTTGCTGATGTCCTTGAGATCATTTCCAGCTATTTTTCTTTAAATTTGGGTATACAGCTCTGCCAATTGTAAAGGGCCTATAAGATCCAAAATTAACTGAAATTGAGCTTTGAAGTATGTTATAATGCTATTTCTTCTTTTAAATCATGCACAAAGCTGTAATCTTTCTTCACTTACACTGGTATGAGTAATTGTTATGAATTCTGCTCTCTGAGCAGCAAACCACTTCGTGTCCTGGAATAATTCAAATCAATGCAGTTATTTACATAGTGCCAGTCTGAACACTTGTCTTCTCAAGGCACTTTACATAGATGATACAGCCAGACTGGTTAAAAGCTTCTGTCAAGGAAAACCAGTTGATTGGATCCAGTCATTGACTTACAGGAGATGCTCCCCCTGGATGAGCTTGCGGTGAAGATTTTCACTTGCATTTTGCTATTGACTCCTCAGCAATCACACAGAGCATGCATGTAGCGACAGTGAAGAGGAAAACTCCCTTTTTAACAGGAAGAAACTTTGCTCAGTGTGAGCGGCCATCTGCCGAGGCCGACTGGGTTTCAAGGAGACAGTAGCAGACATACAAAAAGAAGTTAATATACAAAAGGTAACGGTAAACTAGCTCCACAGGCAGCCCCTTCCCGGAAAGACACAGCAAGGCAGACAAGCTCCGAGCCAGCTCCCATATTAGAGGATAAGATAGCACCTACAGTTAGTCAAAGTAAAAAAAAAAACAGGACTATACACTGAAAAACAGCCATGCTCCAGCATCTATAAACAGAGATGTCAATGGCAGCAGCACAGCTGATATTTCAATCCAAGACAGAATCACAGACAAACAGGAACAGACCAGATGAAGCTATTACAGGAAAAGGCAGAGAGAAGATAAAGTTTTAAGTGGAAGTTAACAAATACTGCAGAAGAGAGACAGGATGAAGCAGAAGGAAGAAAAGTGTATGTCCTCCATGAGCCTAAACATATAGCAGCATAAACAGAGAAAATAGCTTAGGGTAACATAACCATTTTGAATAAGGTAAAAGAACGGTAGGGTCAAGGAAATTGAGGGAACCAAGAAGTTTCTATATAGAGCTGTCTTTACCCACCCCAAGAAGGACATCCCTAACTTAACCTTACTGCTTCTGCATATTAAATGAATGGCTACTTTCTCCAATGAGCCAGAAGTGATATGAGGCAGAGAGCAAAGATCCTGGTTTGAGGTTGAGACAAAGAGGCTCTTTTAGTACCTAATGGGCTGACTTTGTTTAGCACTCCCAAAGATAAGCTGAATTGCCAATGGTGAATATGATACGGAGACTTCATAAAATTAGTGGCTCCCACGCAGGAGAGGCGGCTTTGCTTTGTCTTTCTTTGTGGTTGGAAGAAAACAACAGCTTTAATGCTTCATAGCAACACAATACTTTGTAGTTTCTTAAATTAATATTTGACTCTCCATGTTAATTAGTGATCCATCATGGGCGTGGGAGGGGTATTTTAAATAAAATTCAGTACTGAATAATCTTAATAAATTTGCTATTTCAAAAAAGAGGCCAGTGCTTTATTAAACTTGGCCAAGTTGGTTATTAACTATGATCATCATTCAAAATATAGATAAAAATAAGATAACATAAAATGATCAAATAAAATGGGAGGGGTAACAGAACTATAGGAAAACATTCAAATATGGGAATTACTTGCCCAAAGAAAAACAAGGTCAAATGGAGTAAAGTAGAGGGGGAATAATTCTCCGGTGTGGGTTGTAATACAGACTATAATCTGATTTCTATTCTGAAAATGCTGCTGAAAGACAAACCATCAGTTTGTCTAAAATATGCAAAATGTCTATTTCCTTGTACTATAACACCTCCCTGACTGGATCGGTTTGCATTTTTCCAGCTGCAACCAGAAGCAGCATCTGGAGTTGGAGCACCTGCACTGCGACTTTGAACATCTCAGAAGTCGGGAGCATCACAAGAGCTGCCAGCTGGAGGAACTGACGTGAGTCTCGTCTTAACAGTCCTGGCCATCTTTCAAACACCTCACCATATGGTGTCCTGGAGGCAAGTTGCCTCTTTAGTTTCCCATCTTCCTGTTTTCTCCTTTCTTTCATGTCTTGCATTTACTATATTTATCATCCCTTTACTCTGCAGATGTCAGTGTTTTTTACACTACCGTACATGATTCTCTATCTTTTACCCTTTTTTCATCATGTTCTTTCATTTCATCTGTCTGCCTGTCCAGCCCATTTTGCCTCTCCATTAGTGTTTTGGTTAATAAGGTAGCAGCTGGTTGTTAAGGGCCCATTTCTACACTGACCTTTGCAGCACATTGCATCAGATTGCAGATGGGCAACACCCCCATGTGTAGCAGCTGGTCCACGCTCCCTTTGTTCTCTTGTCATGAATTATTCTGATCAGAATGAGGTAATCATTTGGATAGAGACAAGTTCAGTTTTCAAATGTTCTATCTGGCCATCTTCCTTTATGTCTATAGATTTCTGTGTGAACGGCACGAGCAGTCAAAGCAGGACCTCAAAGGGTTGGAGGAGACTGTTGTAAGTCATTATTTACTTTCACAACTTAATTAATTCCCCCAGTAGCTGCTGTTCCAACAAATAATCAACTAAACTGCTAATTTCCTCATTTCCTCCCTCTGTAGGCCCGTGAACTCTACACCCTGCACAACCTCCGTAAGCTCTTTGTTCAAGACCTCACCACTCGAGTTAGAAAAGTAAGGCAAACAACACTGAGAGTTCTGACACTCAAGCATTTTCAAACGCAGCAATTTCTGTAACACAGTTCTGACAGATCTCCTTATTTTATTTTGCCAGAGTACAGATATTGAACCTGGCGATTCTGGGGGATTTATCACTCAAAAACAAAAGATATCTTTTCTTGAAAACAACTTGGAGCAGCTTAGTAAAGTTCACAAACAGGTAAAAAAAGCAAGAGGTATGGGAAAACACTAAGCATTTCTTCTGCATTCAAAGCTTCTTCTTTAAAGGATCTTGTCACATTTGTTTATATTGCAACCACAAAGCTTTATTCATTAATCACACAAGAAAATTGCTGGTATTTTAACCCATTTTCCTAAGATGCTTCCTATAATGGCAATCAATTACCCTTAAAAGTCATGTAATAAGTTAATAAAGTGCATCCATCGGTATTTTAATCTTTAAAAATACAGCTCTCCCATAAAAGCTTCAAGGAGTTTCGGGAAATCAACTTTGAACCCCTCACAGAGCAGAACCACAAAGCAGGACCCTATTGAAAGCCCTAAGCTGAAAAGTTTTTAAAGTCATTCCTTATTTAGTAGTCCTCAAATGTTCCAGATTGCTCCACAGATCTGAGGTCTTAAAAACTAAAACCCCCTTAAGAAGTCTCATTTGTGCAACAAAGGACTTCAACCATTTTGGTAAGATGAGGGGAAAATGTTATGTTCCGGCCTGCGTCGATTCTCTGTGTGGAGAAAAACTGTCTGCACATTATTCTAACACACTACTCCTACTATGAAGCATGGTGGTGGTAGCATGATGCTGTTGAGGTTTATATTCAGGGACAGAAAAGCTGGTCAGAGTTAGTATGATTAATTACACTCAATACTAAGTTAGCATTGCAAGAGAAAGGTTAAATGCTGAATATTTAGGCAAGAAAGTTTGAAACAAAATCTGACTAAGAATCTGGAAACTTTTATCAACACTTTTTAAATATTATTTTTAGGCTCCAGTGGCATTAATTTAAATTTTATTTTCGAAAACATGGAGAAAGGAAAGAGGGTCAGAAGAAATTGGAGAGACATTTGGCAAAAGTCTGCAGGGCCAGGACTCGAACTTACGACAGCCGGTATATTGGTCATGCAGTCTACCTCCATGCCATAGCACCACCCCCATAGCAACACCTTAATCAATCATGACTGCCTCTTAATATCAAACGTTAATACAGTTGAGTTGGTGTATGATGTTGTATGATAGTATTATGCAAATTAAACAGCAGTCATACTTTACTCTATGGTTTCCCTTTGGATTCACGATTATTAATCTATTATCATTTTAGTTTAAGGGAGAAAGGTTAGTTTTTGAATTATGCTTTCTTTTTTGTAAAAGCAACTTTAGCACCATTAATTTGGTGAGCATACCTCTAAATTAATTTCTTCTTGGAAACAACATAAGGTCTTCCCCATTGTACATTTCAGTCTGCCTTAAAATGCAGAAAACCCTTTGTTCCCAAAGAGGTGAACACTTACTGCTAAAAATAGACTGAACACGCACACACACACCTATCCTGTCCTGCTATCTTTACCCTGACCATGCATTGACTTTCATTCATTTTGCACCGATCATATGAACTGACCCAGACCATTTCCCTAACCTTAACCATTACCAACTTATGCACAGATGTTGAAGCAAAAATGTCAGAGAAACTTGCGCATGAAATGGTAATGTTTGGATTAATGGTAAAAAAGGCTCTCCAGATGAATCAATAAAACAGCTGAATGAGTTTTATGAGTTCAGAAAAAGACATAAAAGTTGAAGTATGTACTGGTAATTTTGAACATAGGCTTAAGATGTTAGGTGAATGATATGATTACCTATCTTTTAATAGGATAATCTATTAAGGGATTAAGAATTGGCCTTCTTAGCATTTGTAGTTTAAAATATAAAGTAGAAAGTTCTATGTTACTGGAGACTAATTTTCATGTAATGGCTGTAATATATTTATTCTGGTGGCATTGCATTTTATATTAAAAACCTTATTCCTGTTCAGATCAGGAAGGATCTTTGTTTGAGTTTTGCTGAAGCTTTGTGGCTTCAGGTTCACATTACTCATTGTAAACCAATATTAGAGTTTTACTGCGACAGGTCACCAAATTCAAATATGGAATATCTAAATTTTATTTGTACAATGATCCAAAAAGCGACTGACACAAACCATGAAATATTTATTCTGGTAGATATGACCATATATTGGATTTCTAATAACTGTCACTTGAAGGAAGCACTTAGTGATACAGCTACTGTGTATTCTCTCAGTTAATAACTTCTGCTACCAGAATAAGCCACGCTACCACGCTGGTAGAATAGGCTTTAGTGATCATAACATCATTGAATAGAAGAATAGGATTCAACTTTATTGACATTACATTGTCACAAGTACAAAGCAATGAAATGAACTCTCTGCATTTAACCCATCCCCTTGGATAGCAGTGGCCTGCCATTGTGTGGCGCCTGGGGAGCAGTGTGGGGTTAAGGGTCTTGCTCAGGGATCCAGAGTGGCTGTCTGTGGGAGTGGGGCAGAGCCTCTGGAATTCAAGGGCAATGCCTTAACCATTAGACCACCACCCCCTACAGGCATTGCTTTGCCTGTAAATAAAAAAAGCCCAAAAAGCTGGGCCTAAAGTATACAGGAGGATACAGATTATGTTCACAGAGATAACTTTAAATAAATCTCTTTAAATATTCTTAGCTGTGTGTGAGATATACACTCTCCAATAAGAAGATCATTGGTTAGATCTATAAAGTCTCCCTATTTGGATGATAATTTAAAACACAGTTTGAAAGAAAGATCAAACTGAAAGAATAAAAATAAACAGCAATAATTTCTGGTGATTGGGAAATTTGTCATACATTTAAAATAGGGTAAGTAAATTGAATAGGTAAAAGAAAAAACAATATTGAGGCATGCACCGACTGATCGGCCGGTCGATCGATTTACCTCAATTTTCTTAATTTTGGGAGATCGATGATTGATGGACATTTAGATGTGAAACTGATCTTTTCATGTGGCCTGATCTACATCTGAAAAGGTCTGAAAACCACCCTTAGTGCCTTAAACGTTAATTGATGTTTGGGAGCAGTTATTTCAAAAGTGTTTTGTGTTTCACGAGCAATGATTAATGTTTTTTCTGTAAGATAAGATTGAAATGACACCTTAATGACACCTTAGTTCACTTCTAACCCAAAAAAGTAACTTCTTCTCATGGGAAGAGTTGGTCCCCATAAGTACTTGTAAGACCCCGCAGGGTTGCATATTCCTGGGAAATGCTCCCCATTAGCTAATAAATATATGGCTGCATACAGAGCCACACACTGTATATTTTCTGTAATATTCCTAAATGGACTGTTGCAGAACAATAAGTGGTGATGTGCTAAACGTTTTGCAGACTGAGTATGAGCTGCACTGCAGCAGTTTGTCAAGCTGAAAACCAATCCTGAAGATGCAGTTGGGGGTCTCAATCCCATCCACTACCTGCTGGTACGATGCAGATTGAAAAAAAAAAGTAACTCTGGTCGTATATCAGCCAGCTTCCCTACGAACCTGATGAGACTTTCAAAGAGAGTGTGGGACAGTGGTAGATTTAATCATCAATCTGTGTGTGTGTAGCTGATTTTTCTTCCTTCCTTGGGGAGCCTCTGCTCTGTTCTTCTATTGTATTCTTTCAGAATTATTCACACCCAAACAATAAACTCCTGCACCTAAGGTCAGTCAGCTGACTTCAGGGCTTTTATGCCTGTTGGGTAAATTTGCCTGCTTGTAAATCCTCAGTTTAGAATGTCTGCATGACGTAGATTAGGTTGCATGATCACGTTCTGGCAGAATGTCACTGTTTAAAGGGTTCAGTCATTATCCTTCCCTTAGGGAATATGCTTAAATGCAACACAATTTCCATTTTGATTTTACTTCATGAGGTTCCATTCATTAAAAATTGTCAGTTTAATATTATTTGCTGCCGTCTTGTTCATTCTACTGTTATATGATAAATTTGTCAAATTTTACCATCTTACTGTCTTGTTATGATAAATATGAAAAAAAAAAATTCATAAACATGCTACAATATTTTTGGCTTATATGTATAATGAATGTCTCCCATCCCACCGCATTAATTTTTGCTGGCCTGTGTAGGAATTTTATCTTTATAAATATTATAATACTCTTATTTCTAATGGTCCAAATGTGCAAAAATATGTCTCTTTACAATTTATTGAGATGTCATGTATTGTGAATTGGTACTATATAAATAAATTGAATTGAGTTGAGTTGAATAGAACTGAACTGAACTGAATCAAGCCGAACCAATTGCACCAGATCAGACCAGACCAGACATTATTGTACCAATGTCTTCTTTGTGGCCATATTAGCTACAGACATTTTGTAATTTTAGTCTCCTAGGAAAAAGTACTAGAAAAAAAAAGTTAGATTTGATTTCAGATTTGAAAATCAGTTTGGTATTAGAAATTGATCTGCATATTGATGAAGGCAAACAGACAAGAAAGGTTTGCACGCACTGTCTACTTAATTGCAAATGCAAATCACTGCACCTTTTTTGAAGATCTGCCTTGCACATATGCACACGGTTGCACTTTTTCAAAGCCACGGCATAAAGATCAGACCCTAAGATTTATTATAATATAGCAAATATATAGTAAAATCAAAGTGAGAGAAAATCTTGTTTTCTTTTAATTCTATCCCAGACCTTATTACTGTAAAAACAAAAGCAAACCCTGTAGAATGTAGCTGGGCAAGTTAAAAAGCAAGTATAAATTGATTGTAAAAACTTAACAAATCTCAAAGGATGGCTGTAAATCTTGCACTGGTGATATGGCTAAAATAAGTTTTTTCCTCCCATGGAAACTTTCCCTCTTAATAAAAGGAGCCAATTTAAAGGTTAGATATAGTTAAAATGTCAATGTGAGATTGTGCTGCTGAAATCAAAGCTGATCCTATTGCCAGACCTTTAGCACATCCATTTCAGCCTTACTTTCCTTCATATTACCCTTCATGTTTTGTTAGTAGTACCTATTTACAATACTAAAAATACCATTTAGTTTCGAAATGTTGAGTTTAAATAATTAAAATACTGGTTAAACTTTTTGATTGAAAATGGTTAAACAGGAACAACACACAGAAACATTTTGTCATTAATGCAGGGTGTGCCTCATGGTTTAGTTTCACATATTTCTCTCATCGCTGTTTTAATCTAAAGGTAAATATTTGGATGCTTTTATCTGTTTAAAATTCAAATCCACTCCATTGCAAACACTACCTGCCAGAAAAAACATCCACCCGAGAGTATCAATGTTGACATTATCTGTTTAATTTTTAATATGGGTTACAGCTGGTACGAGACAATGCAGATCTTCGCTGTGAGCTTCCAAAACTGGAGAAACGTCTTCGCTCTACGGCTGATAGAGTTAAGGCACTGGAGGGAGCGCTGAAGGAGGCCAAGGAGAGTGCCATGAAAGACCGTCAACGCTACCAGCAGGAAGTGGAGCGAATCAAGGATGTGATGAGGCGCACTCCTTTCCGCCGGCCCCATGCTGCACAGATAGGTAACATGAAAACCCCACTTAAATGCATGAAATGAATCAAATGTTGTTTATTTGGTCTGCTTTATCTCAGTAACTGTGAGGAAAACTATGCCTAATATTGATATTCTATAGTTATATTTATTCCCTTTAGGAATTATTCTAGTGCAAAAATATATATGAACAAAACATTTATATTTGTGAAAATTATTTTGACCTTTGATAACCGTTTAATAAATATGTTGTATATTAACAAATCATATTAATAATCTCTATTGAACCAAAGTCTTACATGAACTGGAAATAGATGGTGACGGCTCTAAAGCGGGTACATTTTAATTTACAGTGGGTGAAATAAGTATTGAACACCCCACCATTTTTCTAAGTACATATATTTCTAGAGGTGCTGTTGACATGACATTTTCACCAGATGTCAGAAGAAATCAAACCACAGATGTCCAGAAATGAAGTTATGTGTAATAAAATGAAATGACACAGGGAAAAAGTATTGAACACATGTATTGAAATGTATTTAATACTTTTTACAAAAGCCTTTGTTGGCAATGACAGCTTCAAGATGCCTCCTGTATGGAGAAATTAGTTGAACGCATTGCTTAGGTGTGATTTTGGCCCATTCTTCCTCACAAACAGTCTTCAGATCTTGAAGATTTCATTGGCCTCCTCTGATCTTTAGTTATTTCCATCGATTTTCCAAATGGATTCCAGTCAGGTGATTGGCTGGGCCATTCTAGCAACTTTATTTTGTTTTTCTGAAATCAATTTAAAATTTCCTTGGCTATGTATTTGAAGTCACTGTCTTGCTGAAATGTCAAGAATGTCTCTGTACATTTTTGCACTCATCCATCCTTCAATTATTTAAAGTTTGTCAGTACCATAATGTATGCTGAAAAGCAGCCCACGTCATGATGTTCCCACCTCCAAACTTTACTGTTGGTATAGTGGTTTTGGGTTGATGTACAGTGCCATTTGACCTCAAAACATGGTGTGTATTATGGCTTCCAAAGAGTTAAATTTTGGTCTCTGATCTGACCAGACTATATTCTGCCAGTATTTCACATTTGCTAAATGTTGTGCAACAAACTTTCTAAGAGGTTCAACATGCTTTTTCCTCAGCGTGGTGAGCATGCATACAGGCCATGGCGACTGAGTGGATTACTTATTCTCTGTGCCATTCCACATTATTACATATGACTTAATTTCTGGACATCTATGGTTTGATTTCCTTGTATTTGGGAGGTCAGCCAACAAAGCTGATTAAGTTCATCACAAGCACAGTTTACCTTTTAAACTAATTGGTGAGGAGCCTGATCTGGTTCATTTTCTTCAGCCTGTAATAATCTGCTTCTGCAGGGAAGACTCCAGTATGGCGCCTGTATGAAGCTGGTCCCACTATTTTCACTGAGTTTTATGTGGGGTAGGAGACAATTCATGTGGCTCTTTTATTAAGCTGTCTTCAGCCACAGCTCAGCCTGCAAAACATTACATTGCAGGGGCTGCCAACAAAAATGGGAAACTTATCTATATATAAAAAATAGATATTCTTTTTTAACAAAAGCTCTTTGGATGTGAAAAGAATGTTTGGCCCTTAATTTTTATACTTCATCTGATGTTTGTTTTTTAAAATGAATTTTATACACTGGCAGAGGCTCAACTTTGAAATTTTTAAATGCTCCATTTCCAGTCAGATGTCTTCTTTCTGTTAGCTGTCTCACATCTATATGTGAATGATGTCAGATCATCAAACAATTGGAATCTACCCATGCTTTGTATAAATATTCCATGTCCGTTCATCTTACTGAATTAAACACTATATAAATAAAACTAAAAAACATTTTAAACCCTCCCAACATGTACAGTATATATATCTTTAATGTTATTTTCTAGCACTTGTTTTCCTTTTTTCCTTAACATTATATCTTCATCCCCTATGAAACTCCCATGCATTTCAATGGCACTGTGAGAGGAATCAGTAACCTTGCTGCAACCATTCCTTTTATGTGCCGGCTGTACCTTCCTCACAAGCAGTATTCCCACTATGTTTTAGCCTCACTCATTTGTCATCTCTTTCACCCCTCTACTAGATAATCTTTTTTCGGTTTTTTTCTCGGTGTGATGCAGCAATGTTTGCTGAAGATGGCCTTAAAACCGACCTCATTTTTAGTAAATAAAAAAACCAAAGGCACCTCAGCACTATTGCCTCAATATTCTGCAGAGGAGATAGATTACGAGATGCAGCTGTTTTTAAAACTGAACAACAAGGCTGTACTGTTTAAGCTTTATAGGTTGCAATATGTGAGATGTAGCAATAAGTGAAATACAGAAAACATTTAGGCTTGAATAGGTTTAGCACCCTGGTAGAATACTCCCCCATGGCAGAATTTGCACTGTATGCATTTAAAAGGAAAACAAAAGCTTAGAAAAGCACTCTGCTTTATTTTAATCAGCAGCTCCCCACATAATTGCTTCAACTGAAGATAATTGCAGTGAAATAACAAGCAACACATATGCCTCTGCTATGAGAAAACAAGATATTGATTTATATGAGAGGTCTCAAAATAATGGTTTTCATTACTGGATTATTCCAAGGCAATTAAGAACGTCTGAAAAGTTTTAAATTACCGCTTTCCAAATGCTTAAAAACTTTTAGGAAATATACATTTATCGTTGGTTTTCTGGATGAATATTTCAGTCTTTACATAAGTCTTCTGTTACTGCTTGCAGCCAAGCCTGTGCGCCCTGGTCACTACCCACTCGTCAACCACTTCTTTTTCCGAGGCTACAGTGAAAGCCCTGTTGCCTTCTGCAATGCGGGATTCCAGAATAAAAACGAAGCATCAGCTTCCATTGAAGCTCTCCCAGCACATGACGACAAGGCCAGATTACCTGAAGATGACTGCAACCAGAACAGCCCCGTAGAACATCTAGAATCACAAAGTGATGACGACAGTGATGCTCAGAACATCATGTGAGTAAACTCTTTCATATTTCATTCATTTGGGGTTTAAAGCTCAGAAATCAAGGCCCATATCATGATTTTATTTTATTTATAAAATGTATTAAACAGAAACCTGTTTTACAAGGTAGTTCTATTCTTAATCACTTTATTTAACACTGACACTGAGGCTTCTGGATATGGTTTTAACAAAGGACTTCTATTCATAACTTTGTAAAGTTTACATCCTGATCCCAGCAAAGCTGCTATGACAACGTTCAGTGATAAATTCATGTTTCAAGGTTATGGCAAAACACAAAGGGTGAACACTGAGCTAAAAAAATCTTAAAGAATTAATCTAAAGAATAAACTTTTTTTAAAGTATTAAAACCAACAATATTACAAAGTGATTGTGTGGCAATACCTCTGTGATGCTGTAATTTACCCACATTTTAATAAGGTATGATGATGATTTAGGATTAAGTCAATCAGTTAAATTTGAGTAACTTAGATAAATTACAGCTAGAGAAAACTAATTTGTTTTATTAGATTTTTTTGCACCAAGTAGATCTCTAAGAAAAGCGTCTCTGAAAATGATTTGTAGTTTTGATTTTGGAGATAAAAAGACTGACCTGCTGCAGCCCTGCAGTGCAATTGACCGTTTTCCCTTATTTTTACTTTATTTCTTAGCAAATGATTGTGATAAAAACAAATTCCTAACTTTTTACATTTAAATTGAATTCTAAAAGACTGTGGAATATTATAGCATACAATGTTTAGCAAACAAAGATTAAATAATGTATCCCTGAGTGTCTTGTTATACCGAGAATATTTAATCTGATGATATATCACATATCAGCACAGCACATTTTAGTAAAGACTATTACCATTATATCGTTTTACAATTCGATATATCTTAAGTTTGGTCTTTACCTTTTAGAATGTATCTATTGTATGTTATAGTGGTATTATAAAAGACTCAACACTTATTTATTCAGACACCGCTCTGAATGTGAGTCTATCTTGATGTTATTAGCTCTTTGTTTTGGGTTCTCCTTAAAAAAAATGAAGTGGTTGGAAAGAGAAAAACCTTTCTTCTCTCTATCACTTTTATATCTGCGTCTCCTGTGTTTGTGGTTGAACAGAGGACAGCTGTGATCTGGTGTGATAAAAGTATTTTTCCTCCCATAGCTGCTGGAATTGATGGCATATTTACATCATGAACCCAGTGCAGAGACTAAACCGACAAAAAAATGACAGTAAAATATATGTCAATTAAGTTTTGCAGGACTCATTTTATAAATGTGAAAGTGTAAGATTACTGTAAAAGTTGCTATTTTCTGTGACGGCAAACACCTTGTAACCAAGACCTATTAACTTAACCCAATTTTTAATGTAGAGGTTGTTCACAGTTGCTGCTTATAAGGTGTTGACAAACTATTCCTGTAATAGTTGATACTGAGTGATAATCTTTTTTTCATAATGTTGTACACTTTGTAGATTTACAAGATAAACAACAACATTTCATTAAACATATCCTAAATAATTTCCTTTTTTATTTATACCTCCAGGCCTCCAGCTGAAGCAGTAAGCAAAGCAGAGAAGTCTTCAGAAATGCTTGATTCAGAAAATGGTGAGCCTCCTCTCAGTAATTCCTGGTCACAATAATTGGTAATACTATAACTTGGATCAGCAGGGACTAAATTCACTTAAATTTATGAGTGTAATTTCCTGACAACCATTACGCCCTTATACTAGTCATTAAGTTCAGATGTTGTTTTATGAACACTTACAAAGTGCAGGCTGTTAAAGTCACCAGCAACTGTCCTGCTGCTGGGGTTTTGGG